CATCATCTTAATGGATCGCTGGCGTCACCTCTCAACCACTACTTCTGGCAAAATGCCAGGGGCCATTCCAGCTCGGCTGCAGCTCTCAACATCTCTCGTTACATTTTCATTAAACTCTATCCTCCATTGGGGCTATAATGTATTCTTTATCTTTATTGTCTTCCTTGAGTTTAATCAATGCATATTGCATTTGCCTCAGTTTCATGTCCATTTCTATTGTTAATTTCTTAAAAATTGATTCTAGGATTTGAAAAATCTATGCCGCATATTTGTTTTAGGACACTTAATATAGTCTGAGGTGCTGTGCTTTCTTCTGTTTTATTTTTGGGAAGAATTTTCATTAATCAAACATTATGATAACATTTTCATTTTCTTCATATAATTTATTTACAGTCAGTTTAAATTTTTCCCTATCTCAGTATTTTCTTGGGAAGATTCCTAACTAAAGTGCCATGTTTATTGAAGTGCAAGCACTGGCAGTTTGGGTGGTAATGGCGGAGAAGGGAAATTGAATCATTCAATGACATGCTGAGCTCCAGGGGGAAAAGCAGCCTGATTTGTAAAGTTTGTTGATTTCTGTAGGATTTATTCTTCCACCATGGCTTATTTTAAGTTGTGAAAAGATATCCCTGAACCCAGAGTTGGGGAAAGATGCTAGTGCTCAGTCCCACAGGTCATTTTGTGTCCCACACGTCTCTGCTCTTGTCTTTTTGCTTGACCTTCCACTGGCCAACTCATTTCCTTCTTGTCACTCATGGTGCCATCTTCAAGGACACAACCACTTCTCCACCTGACCTCTCCCCAGAGCACTGCTTCTTCAAGGCTGCTGCTTGTCTTAAGTCCTTCTGCTGCAGCCGGTGCTCTGAACTGCTAGGGCCTAGACGTGCACCCAGCATTCTGACAATTCTCGTTGGGCCTTTGCTGGGGTGAGTTGCGTATGTGGCCTTTATATCCTTCACTCCTCTTTTTAATTTCATAGGTATCTTAAGCTTCTCTCTCTCCAATGATCAGTACCCACAGGCTTGCAGTGGTTGGGGGAACTCCTGGCGTTTGGCATTTATTTCTCTATTTATAGGTGATTTGAGATCAGTGGTATTCTCTGTCCACTAGTTATCCTGAAGGCATGGGTCATTTTATTGGAACTTCTTGGTGATTTTATGGTTTGGCCATGGATGTATGAGAATGTAGAGAGACATTTGGATCCAGACAGCCACCAGTATCATCTAGTCATAAAGATCCTTCTGGCTTTAGTTCTAATTATCAAGTTCATTGATAAATTCAATTTCCTGTTGGCCTAGAATGAGAGCTTTTCACAGAAGCCCACTACAAGTGAGACTTAGCCATGCAGGCTATGCCTGTGTGTCCCCATAAGGAACTGGGGACACACACGCATAACCTACTCCAGTTTGTCTAACCCACATGATGAGGGTAGATATCATGTCTCCAGTTCTGGGTCACATCTCATCCAGAGGTTCAGGTCAGCCTGAGCCCAGTGTATTCTCATCAGGCAGAAATGTTTGACTTTGGTGGCATTGGGGAAAAGACACAGAAAAGACCATGTCAAAACAATAGTAATTTGAAGCTGTTGTTAATTTTGGTGTACAGTAAGGTAGGTCAATTCTCAATGAAGAGCTATTGGGTTTCCACAGCTCTTGATATTCACAAATGCTTTAATGTTTACTTATTAGTTAATCTCATCCCAACATATCCTGCAGATGAGCCTTTACCCATCTGTGTCTTCATGACGACTATCATAGAGTCATGAGTCAAATTGTTCATTTACTGTTTTATTTTGATTTTTATTGCAAAATCTCTCTTTTTTTTCCCACAAGCGCCAACAGTCATAAAATCATTGACTCAGCACAAAAGGTTGGCAAGACACAATCTACAGTACAAGCTGTAAGTCCACATGCTCACACTCATTCATTCAGTCAGTCAACAAACTTTTTTATTTTTAGTTTTAATTTTAGGTGGACACAATATCTTTATTTCATTTTTATGTGTTGCTGAGGATGGAACCCAGTGCCTCACACGTGCTAGGCAAGTGCTCTGCCACTGAGCTACAACCCCAGCCCTCAACAAGCATTTTGAACACAAGCTCCAGGGACTCTCCTGAGGATTCTCGGCTGTGGCATGGTGGTGGAATGCTTGCCTAGCATGTGCAAGGTCCCGAGTTTCATCCTCAGCGCCATAAATAAATAAATAGGAGAGAATTTGTCATAGACCTGCTTTGAGGGTTCCTTGCTGCTTTTCTGCCTCCAATTTCTACTTTAATTCAGGGCACCAACTGTCCTATACAACACCCAAGCAAGTGAGTGAGAGGTGACAATTCAAGTTACAGTCTTCATCCGCATCTTTTGTCTATATCTTTGGATTTTTTTTTTTATGGAGACATTGAAGTTACTATTTTTTTTTACTTTCAAACATTTTTAATATCAGATTTTCAACACTTTAATGAAAATAAAATGAATTTATGAGGTTGTAAAGAAACATCTTTTTATTTTAATGAATATGATTTACTAAACACAAAATACAACTCTATTCTTTATTGGTTCATTCATCATTCAATACATACTCATTGAATGTCTGGTATATGCCGGGTACCAATCTAGGTGCATGAGGATATAGCTTTGAACAAAAAAGAAAATGTCTCTACCTTCATAGAATGTACAAAGAAGGGGAAGCTAGATAATAAGTAAAATAGCTAACTAGCAAAATAGTATGATATCTTTACTTGATAGATTATTGTCACATTTCAGACAGAATTTTATGCGTGAGAAAGGCTGTTAACAAATGTGTCTGTGAAGTTGTACCTAGACAGAGAAGCCTATGTGTCCTACTCTATTCTTCTTCTGAGTTTTCTTATTCTAATTTGTTATATATGAGAGTAAAATGCATTACAATTCATATTGCACACATAGAGCACAATTTTTCATATCTCTGTATAGAAAGTATATTCACACCATTTGTGTCTTCATACATGTACTTAGGATAATGATGTCCATCTCATTCCACCAAAAAAATATGGAACACTTATGAATTTGCATGTCATCCTGGCTCGGGCTCCATGCCAATCTTCTCTGTATCATTCCAATTTTAGTATATGTGCTGCCAAAGTGAGCACGAAGTTACTATTTTTATGTATCTCTCTCATGATGGTAAAACACTCAGGTTTAATTTAATTTTTACTTTTCATTTCTCTGTTTTGATAAATCATGAACACAACCACAGTTTCATAGACATGGAGAAAAATTCCATCTCCTATGTAACTTAGCCTAGGATATTGTCCATGGAATACCTAAACACTGATAGAATTTTAAATTTCAAAATCTTAAGGATCCTGAAATTTTTTTCAAAATGTTTTTCAAAAATTTGAAAGAATTTGTCATAAACTTTAGTATGTTGTTTCGATGGAATGAGATAAGTATGTCTGCAGACAGACTATAATATTTTTAAAGATTTCAGTCCACAATTGCCTTCTGGTAATGGAAAAAAAAATTAGTCTTCAAATTAACTGGACTTAGGGTCGTTTGGTTTGGTGAGGGAACATTCCAGACGGAAACTCTGAAACTACAAGAGGGTAATGCAAATCAGATGTTCAAACCAAGGGGTTTTTAATGTATGTATACATGCAAATATAGCCCTTGGCTTGTCAGCAATCTGATTTTCTCCTAGTGATTCTAACATGCTTTAGACCTGCCTCCTAAGCAACCTGCTCTGAAGCCATCCCTCATGCTTGGCTCCTTAGATCCTGTTACTTTTCTTTGCTCATGATACATTGACCACCATATGTACCCCTTAATTATATATGCACTGCAGACCCGGATTATGTGGCTTTGGCTGCCTTAGTTGACAGGGTGAGGGCGACCCTGTTTGATTTCACAGCTTTACTGCTTCTCTGCTCCTCATCTGAAATGTGCAGCTACAGCTGCCTTGCTCGGGTTAGATAGAAGCTCATAAAAAAGCAAGAAGGATTGGGCACAGTGGTGCACGCCTATAATCCAGCAGCTTGGGAGGCTGAGGCAGGAGGACTGTGAGTTCAAAGCTAGCCTTAGCAATTTAGTGAGGCCCTAAGCAACTAAGCAAGACCCCATCTCTAAATAAAGTATTTTAAAAGGGCTGGGGATGTGGCTCAGTGGTTAAATGCCCCTGGGTTCAATCCCTCGTACCAAAAAAAAAAAAAAAAAAAGGTGAGATGATTAAAGATGGAAGGACCCCCTTGGTTATTGAGATGATAGATGATTTTTTTTTATATTTCTCTATGTTTTACAATTTTGTTCAGGTCCTCTATTTTTCCAAAGCCGCAAGATCAACATTTGTTTTAAAACATACATACACACACACACTCAAAAGCAAATGTACTAAGATGATTCAATTGTGGGAGTTGGAGTGATTTTTATATTCTCACATTTCCATGCATTTCCCAAATACTGCTTTTCTAAAAACAAATTATTCGCAAAAATAACCCATGAACTACCAAAATAAAAGTATTTTTCTTATGGAAATGATTAAGTATTATAAAGCAGGCTTTAAAGTATCTGATCTCTCAGGATCTAGATTCCCATTGCTTTTGAACTCTACTTCAAAAAAATATTTTGGTGGTGGGGCAGGGACAAGGGGTTGAACCCAGGGGCACTTAACCACTGAGCCACAACCCCAGCCCTTTTTTGGTATTCTTTTTAGAGGTAGGATGTCCCTGAGTTGATTAGGGCCTTGCTAAGTTGCTGAGGCTGGCTTTGAACTCTCGATCTTCCTGCCTCAGTCGCCCAAGACACTGGGATTACAGGTATAATAATATTTCTTGATAGAGATTTAACATTTTAGACTTTTCAGCCTTCTTGTCTATTTTAATATTTTAACATTCCTGACTATTCACTCCACACTGGTGAGGTTCTGAAAAGCAAGGCCCCACTGTGCTAGGCTAAAACCACAAAGAGTACTGAAAAAGGAAAGTAGTCAATACAGGAGAAATTTGTGAAATACATAGCAATAGTAACTTTGTGCTCACTTTGGCAGCACATATACTAAAATTGGAATGATACAGAGAAGATTGGCATGGAGCCCGAGCCAGGATGACATGCAAATTCATAAGTGTTCCATATTTTTTTGGTGGAATGAGATGGACATCATTATCCTAAGTACATGTATGAAGACACAAATGGTGTCCCCTTCTCTCTAAAACACAATAATATTTATTTTCTCTTTTTCTTTTTTCTGTGTGTGCATGTGTGTGCACATATGTGTGCTGGGAACTGAAGCCAGGGCCTCTGCATGCTAGGCACGGGCTCCCGCACTCCACCACCAAACTTCATCCCCAGTCCTTTCTTTTGTTTCATTTGTCTTTGCGGAGCTATGTGTTCTAATTTTCTTCAGGGGACTGTACTGCCTTTGGGATGATAAACTGTTTGTTTTGACAGTAAACTGAACATCTAAATAGCTACTTCCCAGGTTAATAAATAAAAGCCTGTTCAATATTTCTTACCAACAAAAGGTTTTATCAGAAGTCTCCAATTCTGGATGCTGGGTATACAGCACCATCCAGCTGGGTGTTACTTTGAACTTCTTGATTAATGAAATAGCCATTGGTGTTTTTGTCCAGCTCTGCACCAATCTTACACCATTTTAATTATCAAATTTTTAAAAAAGTAATAAATCTAGATATCCAGTACTTCTCTGAACTTTTTCTAAATCCACACCATCCAATGTAGTTATTCCTTGCTAGAAAGGTAAAATGCACACCAGATTTTGAAGACTTAGTACCAACACGAATATAAAATATTTGTTGATGATTTTTATGTTGTTTACATGTTAAATTGATAATGCTTTGAATGTACATATTAAATAAAATATAGTACTAAAATTAATTATACTGGTTAATTATTAATTATACTTTTAATGTAGCTTCTAGAAAATCTTAAATTATGTGTGTAGGTCACACCTTTGGCTTGGGCTGTACTTCTCTCAGATGTTGCTGTACTAGAACTATCTGGTTTTTCAATTTCTTCTTTAGTAAAAAAATTTAAGCTGTATTTTTTCTAAAGCTTTTCCATTTTGTCTAAGTTTTCAAGTGTATTAGCATAATGGGGATCATCATGTTATCTTATGACCATTTCAGTGTTCATAGCATTGGTAGTGATGCCTCCTTTTTAAAACCAAAATTTTTGTCTGAGTTATCTGTGTCTTCTCAAGGCCTACATCAGTGCTTTTTCCTTTTTTTCTTGATCAGTCATGCTAGAGATTTGTCAATTATTAATCTTTTATATTTGGTGGAGGGGTACTGGGGATTGAAAGGTGCTCTATAACTGAGCTGTGTGCCCAGTCCTTTTTATTTTATTTTATTTTGAGAAAGAGTCTCACTATATTACTAAACTTGTGATCCTCCTGCCTCAGCCTCCTAAATCACTGAGATTATAGCTGTGGCCACTCCCCAGCAATTATTCCCCTTTTTAGGAACCAACTTTAACCTTGTTACTCCTTGTTTTATATGTTTGCTATGTATTTCACAAATTTCTCCTGTATTGACTACTTTCCTTTTTCAGTACTCTTTGTGGTTTTAGCCTAGCACAGTGGGGCACACCTGTAATCTCAGAAACTTAGGACACTCAAGCAGGAGGATCACAAGTTTGAGGCCCTCTGTAATTTAGTGAGACTCTGTTTCAAAATAAAATAAAAAGGGGTGGCGACGTAGCTCAGTGTTCAAGCACCCTGGGTTCAATCTCTAGTACCACCAAAGGAAAAAAAAAAAAACTTCCAGTGTTTTCTTTTTCTTTCTTTCTTTCTTTCTTTTTCTTTCTTTCTTTCTTTCTTCCTTCCTTCCTTCCTTCCTTTCTTTTCCTTTTTCTCCCCACTAATTATTGAATAGTATGCTTGAATTATTGATTTTTAAACATTTTTATCTTCGTACTTTATATTCCACATGTCTAATATATATCATTTTATTTAGTTTAGTCTAAGTATTTTTTAGTTTCCATTGTGATTTCTTATTTGACCCATAATATATTTCAAAATATCTTTCATCATTTCCAACCAAGTAAAAATGTTTTCTTTTAATTATTGGCTCAGTAATTGACTTCTAACAATTTCACTGTGGTCAGAGAAGATTCCTCTGTAAAATTGGTGGAGACTTACTTTTATGGCCCAGAATATTGTGAGTTTCTGTGTGTTCCTTGTTTGTTTGAAAGGACTGTATTCTGCAGGTGTTGGGGGGCAGTGTCTACGCAGCATTTAGTTTAAGTTGTTAATTATGTCATGTCAGCTTTTTGTTGCTATGACCAACATACCTGACAGTAACAACTTAGAGGAGAGAAGATTTGTTTGGGCTCGTGGTTTAAGAGATTCAGTCCATGGTCTGTCTGCTCTGTTGCTCTGGGCCTGAGATAAGGCAGAACATCATGGCGGAAGGCTGTGGCAGAGGAAATCTGCTCAGCCATGGCAGCCAGGAAGCAGAGGGAGAAAGAAGGTGGTGCAGGAAAGGGCCAGAGAGAAGACAATCCCTACCAGGTACACTCCAGTGACCTACATCCTCCAGTTAAGTCTCACCTCCCAATAACCCATTCAGCCATCAGTGGGTCAATCTACTGATTAGGTCAGAGCATCATGATCCAATCACTCACCCACACCCTCACCCCTGAGCACATGAGACTAGGGGCATTTCCGATCCAACCCATTATATTCTTCTCCTAACCCCAAACCCTGACATTAATCATGCTCAAATCTTCTACATCATCAGCTTTTCTTTCAACTACTGAAATGTTTTAGATTTCCTTCCTATGATTATGCGTTTATTTCTTATTTTAGCTGTCAGTTTTTTTATTTAAATATATTGAGGTTATACTCGTAGGTGCATATAGATTTAAAATGATCATTCTTGTGAATTTAGGCTTGGATCATTATGAATACTCTTGAAAAATACATAAGTAATCATGAACAGAATTTTCAGAGCAATATGGAGATAAAGGCCATTCTGTTGGGGCCTCAGAAGGAAATGAGGAGCATGTTTATTTTGCATGATGGAGGAAAGGCGGTCCTCATTATAGGGTGGTAAAGAACTTGGCTGAATCAAGCTCATGTTCTAGTGTTTTGCAGAAGGAACCAGTTGCGAATGATGAAAGTAGATATTTAGCTGAGATTTCTAAGCAGCGTTTTGAGAGAGCATCTTGGTTTCTCCCAAGTCTTACAGTAAATGTGAGAAGAGCCTGACCCCAGCCTAGCTCAACTCCTGGCCTGCAGAGCTGCGGGCACAGGACCTCCAGCCCGGGGACACTGGAAGACAGGGCTCCAAACCACAGGGGTTTATTCTTGAGCCTTAAGAGATCATGGAGTTCTCGTCGTTTGGACTTCCTTGGGAATTGTCGCCCCTTCCTTGTTTCTCTTTCTCTTGGAATGGGGATGCCCACCGTGTGCCTGGCATATTTGCTTGGTTTCACAGGTTCAGAGCTGGAGAAGAATTTTACCCCCGGATGAATCCTACCTCCTATCTCATCTCCCATATCCGGCTGAGGTGATATTTAAATGAGCACTTGGGTTTTAGACTTCAGAGTTGATGCTGGAACTTAGGGGATGGAATGAAGGTATTTGTCATACGAGAAACACATGAATTGGGGGGTGTGGAGGGGTGCATATATGTCCCCAACAGATTCCTTTGTCAAAGCCCCATCTCTCAATGTGACTGGCCACCCAGCCCGGGGTACTATGACAGGCCTTAATAAAATAGAGTTGTTCTGAATAAAAAGGAACAAATTACATGCAACAAGAAGAATTTCAAATCGTAAAAATACTGTGCCAAGTGGAAAAAGCCAGACCCCTCAAAATATATTCTACATTATTCCATTTATATGAAGTCCTGTAATTGGCAAAACAAATCTAATTTCTGTGATTGAAATCAGATCGGTGGTTGCTTTAGGGGTGGGTAGAATGGGATTAACTGAGAAGGGCACAGGGGATGTTTTGGGGACAAAAATATCCTATATCTTTCTGAGAATATTCATTTGTTAAACCCCACTGACTAGTATAAATAGACCTTTGCATTTCAGTGTAATAAATAGTACCTCAGGAAACTGAAAGTAGTTGGGCCTCCTTATCCACAGGTTCCTCATCCACAGATTCAACCAACTGAGGACTGAAAATGTTTTCGTTAAAGATAACAATAAAAAAACATCAATAAAACAATAAGAATTAAAAATACAGCCAGGCATGGTGGCGGACACCTGTAATCCCAGCAACTCCTGGGGCTGCAGCAGAAGAATCACAAGTTCAAGGCCAACCTGAGCGACTTAGCCAGGCCCTGTCTCAAAATAAAATAAAAAGCACTGGGAATACAACCCAGTAGTAGAGCATCCTGGGTTCAATCTCCAGCACCAACACAGCAAGACTTTAAAACTAAAAATCACCAATTTTAGCTGAGCTCAGTGGTGCATACCTGTCATTTCAGCTACTTGGGAGGCTGAGGCAGGAGGATGACAAGTTTGAGACCAGCCTGGCAACTTAGAGTTGCCCAGTCTTAGAGCTGCTTAGTCTTGCTAGACCCTGTCTCAAAATAAAAATATTTTTAAAAGGACTGGGGGTGTATCTCAGTGGTGGGACACTCCCAAGTTCAATCCCTGGTGCCAAAAATGAAAATTTAAAAAATTTAAAAATCAAAGATTTAGAGAGATAAATAATGCCCCTGACACGCAGGTGCTGATGGTGACAGCTGATTAGGGTGGATGGCACATGCACAGACCATTCACTCAGCCCATAAGTATTCCCAAAGCCTGTCCCTGGAGAGGTGGGTAGGGACTCGCTCCTCTGTCTCCAGAGTGTACATAGTCATAGGCAACCCAAGTGAGCAAACCTTCTCCTTTGCAGAACTCATTTCAGTGATGGGCATGTGGTGTGGCACGTGTGTCCCAGTCCCCATTCTTTGCGCCACCCCTTTCTATTTCCTTCTTGAGAAGATAGAAGATCTAGGAGCTGGGGAATCCATTCCAGTGCTGGGGGTACTGCAATTCCTAGGGTGGCAGAAGAAGCCCAGGGAGAATCAGAGGTCCTCTGGAGACTGGTCTCCACTGTCCTGGGACGGTAGGTGACTCCATGAGAATGCCTGAGGGTTTTCCCTGTGGAATATT